AGTTCCCAGAGAAATCTTCAAAGATTGCCGTGTATGATTTGTAATGTCTTCCCACTCTTTTTAAAACTTTCTTTACAAAAAAAAGAAAAAGCTTTAAGATGCTGAAGTTTGAAACAAGATCTTCGCTGAATGGGTGGGTGGTGGTTGACATTGTGTCGATCTACCTGAGGGTGTAAAACAAAACCAAATGTTAAGTGTGGTGCAGGGCTGAAACAGTTTCCAGCGTTCCTCAGAGTCAGATCATGATGCGATGAAGACCGTGGTTCCTGGTCATCCTGGCTTGTAGACAGCTGCTCACTGTGTCCTTGGATGGCTTCTTTTCAGCAAGCGAGGAGACATTTTTCTGTCTCCCGCTGGACCATGAGGGTCCCACCCTTAGGGTCTTCTGAACCCAAGTGCCTGCCTGGAGCACGGTCACACTGGAGTCCAGGGCTTCACCTTCTGAATTTGGGGAGGAGAAACTAAACTTTCAGCCCATACCAACGTCCTAGTAAACAAAATGTCCCTTCTATAAACATTAAATACCTCGCTCAGCATGTAAATATTTTGTTTCTCCTACTTTTTCTCTATCCATACTTGTATTAGACGTTCTCATTTCTTTGGAGCATAATTTTATTGAAATACAGAAGTTTGGTTTGGTTCTTTTGTTCTCAATCCTGTGATAACACAGGTGGCTACAGTTATACTTTATGTCGTTACTTTTTGTGATTTCTCCATGGTTTGGTTTCTTTTCATCAAAATCTAAACCTGAAGGTACTGAATCTGAAATGTACTGTCCTGAATTTAAACTGAAAGTTTTTTATTGTAATTTCAGGTTTGCAATTCATATAAACGTCACTGAGTATGACTTTCATATAAAGGGTACCGAAAGTCACACTGGAGGACACTCCATAACTACTTTGCGTTTGTCGGTACTCTGAGAGAACTTAGCATCTAGACTTACATAACAAGAGAAACCTTATGTGGCCTTATGATAATCAAAAATCATTTGAATAAGGTGGACAGGAAGAGTAGTTTGGTGAAACATCAGCCTGGGGATTTAAATGAGAATCCTGCTGTAAAATATCTGCATCTTTGGATTAGCATTTGGGCACCAGCTGTTCGTCATCACTTGGACAGTTCATGGAATTATCTCCTTTGAAGAGGTCTTTCTGTCCTTCTCTGACCTACTTGGTAAAGTCTCAGCGCTTGATTTATGGGAGATAATTAGGTAAAGGCCTCCACAGGGCACCAAATGAGAATTCATGCAGTTGAGTGTGATTCTGTACAATTCTGGAAAAGTATTTTAAGCCAGACACAGAAGAGTGGAAGTATCTGTCTGGAATTAATTGTCTCTTGCAAAGCCAAGGTGCAGATGATTGTATACTTCTTTGTAAAATTAAATTTATTTTTAACTAATCCATGACAACATAAAATTGTACAAATCAGTGGGTCATGTGATGTTCCAATACACACGTGCACTGTGTAGTGGTTTAAATCAGGTTAAACATGCTTATCTCCTCAGACATTTGTCACTTCTCTATGATGACAACTTTATACTTTCTGAAGTGTAGAATTCATTGCTTTTTATTTTTAAAAAGAGGGCTATATAGTACAGAGTTTCAAAAAATTAACCAGCTTGCTAGACTTGTTAAAAAAGTCTTGAGACTCCTGTGTCCTCTTTCTTATTTCTCCTATCAGACACAACTGCTTTTTCTGCCTACCCATGATTGTTTTGCTCTTCTTGCTTCATGAACTTTGAATGTAGGCATTGTTTTCTGCCCACTGCGGAAGACACAGGATTAACTCCCTCCCTTTTGGCCTCTACCCGCCCAGCCTCCTCCTCGCCTGTCCTTCCAGGGTTATGTGGCCATTTTGGTTTGCTCCGAATTATAGTAGTGTGACTGTAGTCATAGTGGAAATATAGTAAGCTATGATTATTTTTTTCTTTTCCTGTGCAAATTTTGTTTCCTTGTAGTGTTCTAGTTACTTAACTTTATCTGTACTTATCACTAATTAATCCCCCAACTCTTCACCAGCTGTCTCAGTTTACTCTTGGTGCTTACTCGAATGTACTGGCGTTCTTCTATCCAGTGCAGTTTAGCTGAGCGGGCTCTCCAGCAGCCTTTCCACCTGTCCTGCTGCACTGCCCTTTGGGTCTGAGGTACAGCTGTCATCTTGGGAATTCTGGTCCCACCATGCCCATATTCCCTTTGCCTGTCTCCCACGTTTGAGCTCTTATTTCCTGCATTCTGTGTCCTGCTCTCTTTTCATTATCCCCTTGGTATAGCAGAACACACACTGAGAAAGGGAGACATGCGGGATGAATTGTTTGAGAATTTGCATGAGTAAAATATCTTTATTTTGTTGCTCTTGTTGCCCTTTAATGTTTCCACGCTTAGGTTATGACTCTAAAGGAGCTCCCGTGTGTGTGTGCAGGTGCTCAGTGTCATTTTGGTGGGGTTAGGGAAGGAGCCAAAGTAGGCATGTTTGATTGACCCTGTTCACCCAGCAGTTATACATATCATTAACACAACAAACATTTATTTCAGTTTTGGGCTCAGGAATTAAACTAATTTAAGGAATGAGTTCAAAGGAGAACTTGTTCTTTTCAGGTGATGGAATAGAACTGGAGCTGCTGAACTGGGTAGCTGAAGACACTAATGAAGAAAAAGAAAACAAAACAAAACACAGAGCATTAAAGAAAGTCTTCTGTGGCCAGGCAGGAAAAACTCTTCATTTTTCTTTTCCTTCAAGTTATGTGAAAGGGAAATTTTTCTTTCACAATTAATATAAGATAAGAAAATTAGATAGAAGTGGTGGCCACTGAACATCGTGAATATGTTAATTTAAAATGCCATGGAATTGTTTATTTAAAATGTAATTGTTCATTTAATTTATGTTATATGAATGTAACCTCAATTTAAAAATTCTTTTAACCTAAAAAGTCTAAAATATGCAAACATTTTCAAAGCTAGTAGCTACATGGTATCCTGCTTTTGGGAATAAATAACAAATTGACTTGTTATACAGGCCTCATTAAATTGTGTTTCTAATGTCCACCTAGGAGCTTTGTGGAGGTTAAAATATGCAAAATTCTGGAAGATTTTTATGAATGTTAATTCATTTTGGAAAAAGAAAAAGCAAGATCATTACAAGGGATGGCAAGTGAAGTCGATATTTCTCTCAGGTAGAAAAGGTAGAAGGAGTTAACAAGTACTAATATATGTACCTCTTACCATCAAAATGTGCAGTTGAGACCTTTTGACTCTGCTCCACTTATACGTAGCAGAAGAAATGGGCAACTCTGATGGAACATGACACAATTTCTGTAAATTTGCTGTAAAATTGCTGATGCATTGCTGAGATTTCGTATGAAATACCTTGTCCCTTAAAAAGGATTACTAACATTTTACCACCTAAAATGTAGCATTTGGCAGTCTGGTATAGTGTATTAGACTAGGTGTGCCGAAGCCATAATACCAGAGTTCAAATCCTGACTTTGCTGTTCGTTAGTTAAATTCTCCAGTTCTCATTTTTCTCATGTGTGAAATGAACATAATGATAGGCATTGTGTGAGAATGTGAATTAATATAGGTAAAGCCCTTTAAATGTTACCTGGCACAAAGTAAATCCTCAACAGATTTTTAAAAAAAGATTAAGAGACTGAATTTTCTTTGCTTTATTTATTTATTTGTGGTGCTAAATCCAGAACCTCAAGCATGCTAGACAAGTGCTCTACATTAAGCCACATCCCCAGCTATCTTAGTTACTTTTCTTGCTGCTGAAACAAGATACCCAAAACCCAGAAGTTAAAGGAGGAAAAGTTTACTCAGCTCACAGTTTGTAGAGGGTTCAGTCCGTAATCAACTGGCTCCGCGGCAGGATGGCATGACAGAGGAGCATCACAGATGATAAACACTCCATGGCAAAGCAGGGCAGGCAAAAAGCAGTAAGCAGTGCCAGCAGCAAGCTTCCCTTGCCCTTTTATGACACTCAGGCTATAAGCCTTTTGAGTGGTGCTACCCACAGCTGGGGTAAGGGTTCCCATTACTAACATCCAGAGCTATGATAAACCAGTTAGTGGGCTAATCCAGTACCTCACACCCTTAATCCCAGTATCATACTCTTCATCTACATTCACACATCCTAGATTTAGCTACCTCCAAAAGCCACACCTATTACCACATGAGGCTTTGCAGGGACATTAAATACAATCCATAACACAAGCCCCAATAAATGTACTCTATTTTTTTCTTTTTGAGACAGGATCTCACTATGTAGTTCAGACTGCTCTGCAACTGACTGTGTAGCCCAGGCTGATCTCAAACTTGAAGCGATCCTCCTGCCTCAGCCTCCCAAGTGCTGGGATTACAGGTGTACACCACCACACCTGGCTGTACTCTATTTATTTTTCCAATATTTTCTTAAGCTGCAATCCATCAAAGCATATCTGGAGTAATATACATAAAGGAAGCAATGGGAAACTACTTCTTTACCAGAGGTCTCATTTGATTCTGGTAACCAACCCCAGTTGAGAAAGTGCTCTGGACTCCCTCTTTTTCACTATATTTGTCATTGTAGTTTTTTTGTTTGTTTATTTTTTTTTCTAGAAACTGAATGGCTTTAGCTTACCTTTAATTTCTAAAAAATGTTTACTTCATAATGCAGTGGAATTGTAAAACCAAGAAGTTATAGTGTTTATTTTCAACTCCCTATATTTGGTTTAGACATAATCCCTATCATTTTTACATTTTCTCTGGAAATCCATGAAAAGGTTGAGAATGAGTCTGAGCTATAAACCTGCCGCTGAAAGATGTAACGTATCAGTGGCCACAAAAAGTATTTAATTTTAAGGTATTTTTCTTTACCTGTTCACCCAGAAGAGTCAGTGACCAATGATAAGAATTCTGTCACCAGTTATTTTAGTTGTAATTTGAAATTCCTCATCTTCCTGCAAGATGAAGTTCTGTATTCTATGATTTTCATTGCTAAGCCATCTTTTAAATTTTGCTTTACAGATCAGTGATCAAAATTCTGCAGGAAGACTGTAAATTTTCTGATGGTGGTGGTAACCATGGCAGCAGATGATAAAGTTGCTATCTTGACTGATGATGAAGAGGAACAGAAGAGAAAATATGTGCTTGCTGATCCCTTCAATGGTATTTCCAGGGAACCCGAACCACCTTCAAATGAAACACCTTCCTCCACAGAAACATCTGCTATTCCGGAGGAGGAAATAGACTGGATAGAGAAACATTGTGTGAAAATAAACAACGATCTTCTAATTTCCAAAGTTTTTTATTTTTTCTTTTACTCCGCCTATGGCTCTCTTTACCCACTTCTGCCTGTGTATTATAAACAGCTGGGAATGTCACCAAGCCAGAGCGGACTTCTCGTAGGCATCCGGTACTTCATTGAATTCTGTAGTGCTCCTTTTTGGGGGGTGGTTGCAGATCGCTTCAAAAAAGGCAAAATTGTCCTCCTCTTTTCTCTTTTGTGTTGGGTTTTGTTCAACCTGGGCATCGGATTTGTCAAACCTGCTACCTTGAGATGTGTACCAAAGATCGCCCCAACAGCTCACCCCACCAACGCAAGTCACCTGTCAACCGTCCTGCCAGCAAATTCCTCTGCGCTCTCTTTCCTTAACACATCACCAAAAATGCGTGAGAAGAGGAACCTGCCTAGTTCTGATTGGCCACCAACTTTACAAATGGGGCTTGATATCCCAGAGGCGGATATCTTTGCAATGCCTTCAGCCAGGACCACTGAACCCAGTTTGCAGCCCCAGACAGGTGAAATGACTGACCGTGTTATGGACTTGATCTTGAACACAAGCACAGTAACCCCCATCCCCACAGGAAATGTAACCAGGGAGACAACCACTGCTGCTGTCACCACCACCAAATCCTTACCTCCTGCTCAAGTCTCTCTTGTTTATGACCAACAGGAAGTGGAAGCTATATTCTTGGTGATCTTAGTAGTTGTCATAATAGGAGAATTTTTCAGTGCCTCTTCTGTCACGATTGTAGACACGGTGACACTCCAGTATCTGGGGAAACACAGAGACCGCTATGGACTGCAGCGTATGTGGGGGTCCCTGGGCTGGGGCCTGGCCATGCTGTCCGTGGGCATCGGCATTGACTACACCCACATAGCAGTGCTTATCGATGGGAAGGGGTGTAAGCCCCCGGAGTACAGGAACTACCAGATCGTCTTCATCGTCTTTGGAGTTCTCATGACCATGGCCTTGATCGTGGCTACTCAGTTCCGGTTCCGCTACAACCACTTCAAAAACAGCGATAACAGAGGAAAAGAGGTAGAGATCCCGCAGGTGGAAAGGAATGCCTCCACGGAGTCTTCTGAGGAGACACCGTCTGCCGCAAGCCACTCACAAACCTTCAACTTTTGGGACTTAATCAAACTTCTGTGCAGTGTGCAGTATGGCTCCGTGTTGTTCGTGGCTTGGTTCATGGGTTTTGGCTACGGCTTCGTGTTCACCTTTCTGTACTGGCATTTGGAAGATCTGAATGGAACCACAACCCTCTTCGGGGTCTGTTCAGTCCTGAGCCACGTGTCGGAGCTGACAGCGTATTTTTTTAGTCACAAGCTTATTGAATTGATCGGCCACATCAGGTAAGAAAATGCACACTGTTGCTGCCCCTCAGCAGTTGAGCGTCATATTTTTATAGCTTGTATCAATTTTGGCACAACGAAGGATGTTAGAATTTGTGTTGCAGGTAGGGTTGGGGTGGGAATGGGGCTATCTGTTGCTGCTCCTCCTGAACATAGAGATAGAAGGAAGGAAAGCAAGAACGTGACTGGATTGTCTAAACAAGCAAACAAACCAAAATTAACTGTCTCCTTTCTCAGACTTCTCAGGAGTGATCTGTAGGCCACCTGACCATGTGCTGAGACTCTCAGGGTAAATGTTTTCTGATACAGGAAGCACCAACCTAGTCAACTGTATTGTCCCATAGACTTGAAGGGTCCACCTGTCTCGGGCATTTGTGACACAGGCCTTCTGTGGATAAAATGGGTCATGTTTTTCCAAACGTCATCTATCTCAAATGACGTACGCAGATAGAGCTTGAACACATGGCGTGCATAGGCGACAGGGGCCTGGGGTGTGATTCAGTGGTGAAGGGCTTGCCTGCATGCACCAGGTCCTGAGTCTGCTCCCCAGCATGAAAAAAAAAAAAAAGAAAACCATTATGTTTAATAAAGCTGTGATATAACCCACCATAATTCGTATCCATCATATCACATGGAAGAAATTCTTATATGAATTTTTATAATTGTTACATGAATCTTTGCTTTTTTTTTCTGGTCTGCCCTGAGGACATGGCTTGCTTAAAAATCTCCCTTTTACCCTTTTACTGAAAACTTCCTGTTTTTTTTGGGGGGGGTACCAGGGATCAAACTCGGATCTTTGTGTTTGTGAGGCAGGCAGCTGAACTACTGAGCTAAATCCTGGCCCTCTGCATTATTCTTTTAACCATCAAACAAAACAGAACCAATAAAAACCTATTGTTTCTTTGATACCCTTAATTGTCAAGTGAATGGTACCTTGCTGTATTTTGTGTTCTATTAATGGCTGTAAAATGTGCAGCTAGCTACACTTACGCATTCCCATTTGTAGAAAAGTGTGACATAGCTATCTCTAAAATTCCTAGTTACCATCACCAAAAGAAAGCAACACTATATATTTTGTTTTTGTGTGATAGTCTTTAAATCTGTTCTTTCTGTAGGAAATCAAAAAGCAAAATAGACAATGGTAACAGTTGGAAAATATTTGCCATTGTATCTTTTGTTTCCTTTCTAATTGAGGAAGATGTTTTCTAATTTAAAGCTTCAACCTAGAATCATTCCTTTTTCCTAGACAGTTGTGAATGTTTGTCCTTGTCTGGCATGGTTTGACTTGGGGAGGCCGTGCCCTGCCTGTCTTTTTGTCAATCTTTGACCCCTTTGTTGTCACTAAACAAAGCCAGGCACTGTGTGATGGTCCCCAGCCCCACGGAGTCCCTGTGGCATAACCCGTGGGACGGGCTGAAGAAGGGTGTGGAATGCTCCTCAGCTTTGTCCGGCCACATTTGCGTTCTCAGCTGTGTGGATGGACCATAAGGACTTAGAGACTTCTCTATAGCCAGGGTTTATGTGTTCCCAAGGAGGGCAATTCCTAGATGTCATTTTTCATCAGTCAATAGGATCAGGTGAACCCTAATTTAACACAGAATATGTATGTAGGTTCTATTTTTCAAAGATACCATTGGTTTCCTCTCACGTGGCTAAGAAAAAAGTTCTCTTCGGCCTTTGCCTTTTATCTGTAGTAGGTATTTTCATAAATCCTAGTGGGTTCATGACTACTTTTGATAATTTTGTCAGCTTGTAGTTGTGTTTTTCTTTCCTGAGTAGTATGAGTTACTCATTACTTTAAAAATCCTATTGCCCACTTACCCTTAATTTTTTGGTTTTCTGTATGAAAACCGTCTTATTTAATGATGCAATGGAAGAAGGTGGTCCTGTGGTCACAAGAGCCTACTGGGGTCCCATCAGAACATGGTCATTTCCTGCTTTTGTATTTGGATTCTGTCCATTAAAACGTATTGATCATTTTAAATACAGTTTAACGAGTATGATAGCTGAAGTAAGATTATGCCACATTTGTACTCGGATGGAACAGATCTTTTGCTCTTGATGACAATTTTGGGAGTCCAAATAGGGGGTGCTTGCTGACATTTGGGGGTTTCTAAGTATAGTGGTGACAGCTTAAATTTTATTTGGAAGAATGTCAGGTGTTAAAAAGCCGAGGAATCCTTAGTCTTTATGTTTTCCTTGTAGGATCATAAAGAGAGATCTATCTGGGGCCATTATGTATTCCTGTACATTTTTTCAGTATTCATTATTATATTAGGAGTTTTAAGAGTCAGCTCTACCATAAAAATTGTATATACTAACATAGTCAGAAGCATATGTTCACACGTTTTTTAATATAGATTCAGAATGAAGAGGAATCTATACCAGAAAACAGTTTTTAAAAAATAGCACATTCCAAACCATGCAGTGTTTCAACAGATTTTCAGGGGGTGATTTATTGGCCTAACACACACACACACACACACACACACACACACACAAAATAGTAAATGATTTCAGGTTTTAACCTAGGATTTTTGTCCTCTAAAAATAGCTGTCTCTGGGAAATAGCTCAATGCTTGTACTAAGAAAGTAAATTTCTTTGATATCACACAATTTGAATTTATAGAAAGTACATTTTAGGCCCATTTATGTAAGGATCATTAAATGGAGGTATCTTATGTGTCCTTGCTGAATATTTCAACACATATGAGTAGGAGTGTGACCAAGATAAATAATAATAGTGCTTTGTAAATTTGTAAATCATTGTTATCCAATGGTATTTGATTTAAATTTATTTTCATTTTAAGGGACACACAAAAATCTACTAGATCAGTTTAACCTAAAATTATTATTGTGTGTGTGTGTGTGTGTGTGTGTGTGTGTGTGTGTGTGGTACTGAAGATTGAACCCGGGGCCTTTGCACTGAGATACATACCCAGCCTTTTTTTTTTTTTTTTAATTGGAGACAGGGTCTCACTAAGTCAGCGAGGCTGGATTCAGACTTGTGGTCAGCCTCAGCCTCCCAGAGCGCTGCAGATTACAGGTGTGTCGCCACACCCAGCCTTCACCCTGAAATTCTTACATCTAAGGTCAGTTTTACCAGGTATTTAGTGTGCAGAGGGGATAACGTGTCAGCCATTTGAGCTATGAATTACTGCTTACTCGTAGCCAAGTATCCAAATGGGCCAGCTCAGCCTGCGCAAGAAGGGAACGTGTGATGTATATGGCAAGAGGAGGAGCGACAGGCTTTCCCGAGAAAGGAAGAGCCAGGAGAGAGGCGAGGGTGCACAGGAGGTGGCGTGGCGAGTGGGTGATCACTGGAGAAAGAGCGGGAAGAGGAGAGTGCAGTGGGGGTGACCGATGTGAACCGGCCGTGGGAAGACAGAAGGATTGCATCTGTCTTTGTTTTCCGTTTGGTTGTTTTTTTCTTTGCTCCACCCATCTCTTCGTGCCATCTACTGGTCCTCACTTGCTGGCTCTCTGACTGTCCTCTGCCTGTACAGAGGGCGTGCTTCCAGGACCTGCTATCCTGTCTTCTGTCGGATTCAGCTATGCATTGGTCCTCCAGCAGCAGACCCCCCCAGGAGAGCTCTGCAAGCTCAGGCTGCATCTGGCCCCCTTACCTCAGACCCTCCAGGCCTGTGTACTTTTAGAAGCTCCCTTCTAGGTTCCTCTTCGCTGCTGAGGTTGAGAAGCACCTCAGTTCAGGAGGGACACAGGTGGGAGGAGGATTGGAGGGAGGCAGACAGATGAAATCCCGTGGCAGTTTCCTCTCTTTCTAGCGGCCGCAGCCTATCTGTGTGACTTTGGATATGGTTCCCCTGCTCCTTCCAGATGGTTGCTCTCTGGTAGGTTCCTCACTGTGCGCGAGCTCAGGAGTAAGAGCTGGATTCTCTCCACTCCAGGGCTCATTCTGCTCCCTAGAACCTCAGCCCTGTCTTCTACACTGTGCCCTATTAGGCAGTAACCCTGCAAGACAGCACTGCGGCTCCACTGTGGATCCACCCGCAGTGGGCGGCCCGGGCCTGGGCAGCATCTCCTCTCTAACCTTATCCTTCTGACCTGGCTGTGTGGGTGCCACCTGCAGCTTTGCAGTTCTCTGACCAAGTCCTTGAATGAAGACCGAGGATTGCCCCGTTTCCTGATAGCAGCCACCTCCCTCACCACCCTCCACTCGTCAGGACCCCTTGTGGCAGTTGCCACAGCAAGGAAAGAGCTCAGAACTAAAACTCAGTTCCTGATTCAGAAACAAAGAGTGGTTGGCCTTAACTCTTCTTTTCCATTTGATCTCTGAAGGATTCTTTTGAAAGATCTTTACCATGGCTAAAAAAATATGTTCTAAAAGGTTCCATTTTCATAACAAATTTGAAATTATGTCCTGCATCCTCTAGAGGAGCGAGTATTCCTCTGTAGAATTTAAAGTGAGACCCTGAGTATTTGTTCAGTTTAGTGGACCGGTGACTTAGATCCCAGATTCATAGGATGGAAAATATAGGGATGTTGAAGGCCACACAATACTGAGTCTTCTCTGGAGAAGCAGGGCCATGGCAGGCTCAAAGCACAGGAGAGGATCCGTCCAGGGGATGATCACTGACATATACGTGGTGCAGGGTCACTTCGGAGCTAGGTGTCTCTGAGAATGTTCTTAAAAGGTCCCAGTCAGGGGAGAAGATACAGGCCTGGCTACAGAAGCCCCAGCAGAATTTGGGGGAAGGGGAGACGGGAGACACTTGGGAGGTAAAACTGATAGAATGGTTTGGATGTGAGAGATGAGGCAGAGACCCATCTCCACCTTGGTGTGCCAGCTCCTCTAAACCTAAAGGAAATTCAGAAAAGAGATGTCAGATCGGGGAGGTGGGAGCATAATGATCTGAATTTAGTGTTGGGTCTCATTTGCAATGGAAACATCTGGGGCTATCAAACAATTACTTTTAAAAGCTTGTATCTTAATGGAGAGGTTAGGATTGTGGATACAGTTAGGGGAAAGTTAAAATCAC